TGCGTGCGCGAAGAACACGGAATTACTAGGACTTAGGAGAGAGATTAGAGAGGGAGTGCCTACGTTCTGCATGACCGGGCCGCGGCGTGGGGGACGTAGCCCTTCTCCACGCATCGATCCAAGCATGCAGACCGTGGCTACCAAAACGCAGCGAAAGAAAGAGAAGGAGGGCGGGAAGGACAAAGCGCAAGAAGAGAGATACAGTTACAATGRCGCCARCCCAAAAYTACAGTTACACRTCCGATTAAAGGCGCCGACTACTCAGAATTMCGTYGCAGYCGCATAARAGAGCGCGYAAACAAAAAGCGYCGCGCGGCAAAAGAAAGTCCTAATTACAAAATTTCTAAATTCCTTACTAATGCGRAAAAGCAAAAGTACARGTWYCGGGAGGAAAGTCCRCAATTCCGAGAGCCATCGGGGCTCGACAAAATTCGAAAAAGAATTCAGAAAAGAAAATTAAAAAAGAACGAAGCAAATTCCCAAGCGATGTCCGCGCCCAAAAAKTTYCGAAACCGATCSAGGAAAGAAATGACRTCAACACTTATTAATYGCGCGCTCGACGGYGCRCYKCAGACACARCCAATCAATCAATCRATCGYCCCRRSRCTCACYYGRCTCCGAACTCAACCATCCGAAAAGAGGCGACGAAAAAGACAAAGAAACGAGGACACTGATGCAATTTCCCATCCATCCCAATCTCCCGTAATTGGCCCAACCTTCCCAGCTTAGGACCCCTCATTGAGAGCGCGCAAGAAAACTGCGCGCTACCGAAAGTGGTTCGTCACATATGTGACGCCCAGGGGGTTCCAATATTAGCAAGCTCCTGCTTGCTTGTTGACACGTGTCGATTTCTCTAATCGATCGACACGAGGAGCTATTCTATGCTACTTACCGTTCGAATGTGTGTGGACGTCTTCCAACGTGGCAGTACAACTCTACTACTAATTCCTCAGGGAGGGCCTTTGGCAATCCAAGGAGGGGATTACACGTGTCATTGTCAGAACACGTGCCCACTAATCCTGCATCAGCGAGTGTCGGGGAGTGGAAAGGGGAGACGGTACATGGAGGGGTGGCGAGGAGGAGGGTTGATAGGTACCGGGGGAAGGAAGCTCTCCATTCCGGCCACCGTCTCCGGAAGTTCCTGATAACGAACGATTCGGTGGAAGCGGGGGAATCGGTTGCCTGTGTGGAAGAGATGAGCACCGGGTACCCAGACCTGCACCCACCTCCACCCACCCCACCCACGAGGACACTGGGTCAGGTGCAAGTCTTGATAAGGTGACCTGGGTGGGATGAGGGCGGGTGAAGGCCAGACAACCTGGGTGGGTGACAGGTGGGTCAACATTAGGCCTGGGTCACCCGAGTGGGTGGGTGACAAGTGGGTGAGTGCTAGGCCTGGGCCACCCGACCCACAGACCCAGGACAACCCATGAGGACCCCCCCCCCCCCCCCCCCCCAAATCCCTGCACGAAATGTCCACCCGCCTGAAAAAGTCGAAGGTGCACACACGAAATGTCAAGTCCCGTCGTCGGCCTGCCTGGAAAAAAGAAAAAAAGGTCAAGGTCTTCCTGAAAAGAAAAAAAAAGCAGGAACCTTCTATCAAATTTTTCGCATGCTGCTCTTGCCTTTTGGCGGCTGCACCACGGCCCACATTTGGACAAGTTACCACTTTCAAACGGGATGCTGAGTTTCGCATCCATTAAAACAACATGGGGCGAACCAAACCACAACAGGTGGCAAGGTTCGCTCCCCACTTTTGAACTTCTGGAGCGCTTTGAATTTTGGCGCCGTCATCCAGCGATGACACAACTTGTGCATGGCTCAGCAGCAGGGAGGAGGTGGTGGGGCGGCGAGGAGGGGGGCAACGCACCGACGGCTTGGGGAGCAACAACGAGGCTGCGAGCCACTCCCCGACGGCCTGAGGAGCCACACACTGACGGCCTGGGGAGCAACAGCGCTGCTACGAGTGAGCAGCAGGAGAGAGAGAGAGAGAGAGAGAGAGAGAGAGAGAGAGAGAGAGAGAGAGAGA